GCGCCGACTGCTGCCGAGACCACTGCTGGCCCAACTTCTAACGCTATTGCAGCTGTTGGGAGCTTGCTTATTCTCGCCGTATCTGGTATCATTGCAATGTAATTTACATTATTTGCGAGTGAAGTCTTTTATGGGTAATCGCATCGTGCGATTCGCATCTACACCACTCTCATTGCTCTTTGTGAATATGAAGCTCACTGCTCCGTAAACGAGTCGAGTTAATAGTTGCCGTGCGCAGGCTTTGACTTGGACGTGTAGTGCATCAAGAGTTCAAGCCACGTTCTAGTACCCTTTGGAATGATTTGTCGATTTCGAATTAATAAGTCTTTAGGTGACATACGACGCGCTAGTCACTTAAAGAACTCCTGCGATTTTGTCAATAACAAGAACCTTGATGTGTTCGGTTTTAATGACTTAAATTCATGCTTGCAGGAAGATCATTACTCGACCTACGCCACTAGGCTCGGGTTCATGTCTACCTCGTACTGACTTAGTCAGTCTGACTACTAGTCACCTAGAGGTTCCCTGATAAATAAACATATACAATGTGTATCATGCATTCGTGTCGTGAATAAAACTACGAACGCCGGAAGACTTTCTCACCTGAAGAATCGCGTTCTGGTTGGATTTGGATTCTATTCAGGAATTCCCAAGGTAGTGTGCCAAACATGCGGAACGTTGCGATAATATCGTAACATTCCGTATGCCGATATCGTTACTATATCGAGTACTACTGACTGTCAGTGACCTTATGACATTCAACACAACCCATAATGAACTTTGTTTCACCGAAATACGATGTTTAACATATGAATCTATTTGCTAATTTAATGCTACACTAGATACCCCTATTATGGAATCGGTGGTAATACACCAGATCTCCTATAACGGAATTGGTGGTGATACACCAGATGTCTCTTAAGAAACATCTGACGAGACAGTCCCTTCTGCTAGCCTCTTCATCATCTTAGTAGCCCCCACTAAGTAGGGGTAGAATTTCTACTCCTACTGAGTAAGATGATGTGTCGATCATTTCTACTGTAGAAACGATCGACACAGAGCTCGAAGTGAGCTAGCTTACACATTTTGTGAGTTATCACACCACCGTGAGTGAGTTACGCCGTAAGTCTCACGGTAAGTCTCGGGGAAAAGCCCTGACATGGCCAGAGAAGGTCTTGAATAGACCCATCGAGGACGAGTGAAAAAAAGCAGTAGGCTCAAATAGCAACATATCGCAATAACCAGCCAATTGTGAACTTTGCCAACGTTTTCGCGTATAAAAGAAACAGGGGGGTAACAAAACCAACAGCGTATATTTGCAACGACTGAAACTTGCTTCCTCAAAGAGTGAAGACGAATAATCCTCCTGGATATCCTCTTGAGCACTGACCATTTCTATAGCACGAAGGGCGACACTCATCCAATCAGGAGGACTCCTGCCTCTCCAACAGTTGATCCCAACTAACGAATTAGCTTGATCCCCAACCTGAAGGGCTCCAAGACAGTTAATATATCCCTCATATTCTTGAAATCCAAACTACTGAGGGAATGGTCACGGACGGTTTCCCCACACTTGTCCCCTTTTTTGAGTTCCCTTCACCCTCATCTGGAAGCCGTCGAAAGCCGCCTCATTGTCGCATACCATCTGCAACATTTTGTAGGTGGAATTCCACCTGGTGGGAGTGTCCGCCAAATAATTCAAGGGCTTCTTTTGGTCGGCTGGCAAGGCATCTTGGGCTTCATTCATCAGTCCAGCAGCTTTGGAACTGACCCGGAGCATGCGAAGCAAGGCGCGGCACTTCTGCAGACAGCCAACGACAGTCTTATGACTACGAAGCCGCGGGCCGCCTAGACCTCGCAACCAAGCAGCATCTTCTTGGGGTGCCCATTCAGAGTCCGACTCCGACCCTTCCCCGTCTTCGTCACTGTAGGTCGCGGCTTCAAGATCTTCCTCGTCTGAGCTGTCACTGTCACCATCATCCGGCCGTTCACTGTCAGTTTCCGCCATCACACCTTCCGGGAGGAGTCCCTCGAACAGCCGTAAGGCATTGGAGACTACCAAGTGCATCCTGTCACAACTTTCCTTCGATAGACACGGGTCACACGCCACAGGTTACCTATGGGCTGCACAAGGCAGCCAACACACTAGGTTGGACAAGAGGAACTCCTCCGGGGCAGCGATATCCCTCTGGTCGTTCTTGTCAGCTTTCTCCTTATCCCGCGGATCACGGGACGCCATCATGAGTTTAGTGCAGGCTCGGCGTATGTCGGAACCCGAGTCGCTGACGATGAACGACACCTGGCAGAGGCCAGTAGTAGCGACTCACTACGCCAGTTCGGATGGTGCATATGTGGGCCCCACATTGTGAGGCACTTTACCTTCGAGATCAGGTCCATCTCGGTGAGTCGGCCAACTATCACGCTGGCCTGGTTTTCCGCAGTATGTTCGCCGTCAATGACCTGAGCCGAATCAGCTTGAATCATTCAGGCGAGTTCGACTATTATCGGAAGTGATTCACCTCCAGGCCGATGATGGTTGACTTTGCTGGAGCATCGCCAACTTGCGATCCTGTACCATAGTGTGCCACCATACCGATCATGTTCAGATGAGAGTGCCGAGACCAACAATCAACAGTGATACTGATGAA